TGGATGGATGGATGGATGGATGGATGGATGGATGGATGGATGGATGGATGGATGGATGGATGGATGGATGGATGGATGGATGGATGGATGGAAAAAGACTTTCATCAATTTCTATCCTCCTCCTGACTTTTCTAGACTGGAACCCTGCCATAGTTCATTTTCTATAAATTTGTTGATTAGCAATTCCAGTTGACCTTGAAGGAGAACATTTTTAGGTTTTCTCCACCTCGGCATATAACTCTAAATTGATCTGATCTCTGCACCTTACAGTTAACGAAGCATTTCAAATGCAAGAGACCGAAATCTGCAAACACCCACACATACCTTTCACAGTCACTGCTTCTGTGAAATACAAACACACCCAGTTTCAGATCAACATTTACCTGATTTATACACAGTCACAGTTCATAACAAGGTTCCGCTGATACAAATACACACACAGAACATGCTGCAGTCCCACCAGAGACTGGTTTAATGAGCTGGTGTGATGCATAGGAAGCTTCTCGCTGGAATGTCAATGAGGGCCTATTAGCAACAAATAAGCATGGAATATTGCTACCAGGCTGTCTGACATTTTCAAAGGAGGACGTGAGCAGAATGGCAGACGGCTGCGGCTACCCTTCAACATCAAAAGTTAAACAATGTAAAGGATGATTTACGTAAACAAGGAGGGATGCTTCTCATCATTGGCCTCTTTTTTACATTAGTTGAATAACAGAAACCCTTTCTATTTTTTCCATCAGTAATTTGATCTTCAGAACACAGGCCTTTTACACAGGCAACAGCATAGATATTAAGTAAATTACAGAACCACAGAGACAATAAGCCAGCCAGTAGGTCATTCCACTTCGGTCTTGATTTTACAGTGAAATAGTTTATTTTCTATAGATGTTTCTATAGAATGGAGAACTGATTTGTTAAAACTAAGACATACAATTTCTGCAAATAAATCTGAATTCCCTACTGCATATGTTGCTGATTTAGCAAATTTACTACTTGCTTTACTACTAACTCATGTAGGAATAAACTGAAGGAACTACAGTAACCAGGTGAACTCACTTCCCTTCATTGTGTTTCAAAATGTTGTATTCAGATCTAAACTTTTCTGTTCTGTTTCTGATCTGATAAATCTTTTTTTTATGCCCATTTTTATTCTATTTAACAGTTTACCACTTACAATTTAGCTATGCTCATTTTCAGCTAGAAATAATCAAATAAATGATTTACTTTTCATAATTTAAGATTCTCTATCAGTTTAAAATATTCAAAAAGCCTATTTATGTCTACAACATCTTTGGAAAAGTTACTTTATTAGCTTTAATTGCCATAAGAAAATGAGACTGATACAATAATACCATCAGAGCTGGAAGATTATGTTTTGAACACCACACTTTCCAGATTAAGATGCATCAAAAACATGTGATGACAGCATGAAGACATTCAGACATATTGTACCATCTGCGTTACCTGTTAAAGTGACTTTACAAAATCCTGCTGTATTAATTATTGATGTTCTTGATACCCCAGAATCCCGCTATGCTGAAGTAGCAAAGCCAGAACAAATACAATTTTTCTTATCTCTTCAGTATTATGAGTCCCTGATAACATTTATTTATTTGAAAAGGATCAATGACTTAACACTCCTCTATGCATTATCTTGACTTATTAAATAAAGATCAACTTTGTCTGAATATATATAAATATATTAATAATTTATTGATTGAAATACAAAGTTGTGAGCATTGAGTTTTGTTTTATATTTGTGACCATTACATATATTTAAAAAAAAAACAAATGTGTATGTTCTAAAAATATTTTCACCGGGAAATAGGAAATAGTAGTAAAACTAAACTAATCTCTCTTTAGATTAATCTAAAAATGTATAAATAGATTTATCAATTTAAAATAATTGATACCCATTGCCCTATACTCAAAAAGTCATATTAATTATAATGTTTAATGTAGTGTTTTACCAACAAAGTTTGTAAGATATAACGTCCAATGCATAAACTCATGATCTTAATCCAGTGCTAGGATTTCCTGATATTTAAAATAAACAGATCAAAATGATGAACACAAAACTTAAATAAAAAATACATGACGTGACATGTCAGCCTATAAATACTACTAGGTAGTTATTATTAAAACTTGTTTTATGTGTTTAGTTTTGGATCGTTTCCAGTTATTTTCTATCATTTATCTCAGCTTAATAATTTCAAGAATAATCTATTCTTGTGTCGTGATCAGCTGGAGCTGAAGCAGAAATATATTTGATTGACTCCAAAAAGCTCACTTTGTGGTGTACTGGTCCAAGGCTTTTCAGGCACTTCGGGCCTCATCTTCATAAAGTTTGCATGCCTTAAAAAAGGTAGAAACCTGTTTGTACACGCCCTGCAGAGTTGCATTTCCAATTTAGCATGTGCAAACTTTTTTGCTGCGTTTGCCTTCATCAATATGGAGATAATATTGTTAGGACTTGGTGCTGCAAATTCATTTATTGAGGATATGCAAATGTAAACATTTACCATGTGAGAGATTCTCCAAATCTGAAACCCAACTGCTGCAGTTTTTGCAGCTTTTTTAGCACTTCTTAAGGTCAGTTGAAAACTGACATGCAAAAATATCTGCAGTTTTTGTTGCCAAGAAGAAGAAATGGTAATGATAGAGGATATAGAGACATTATGTGCTCATTTAAACATATTTGCATTGTCAGAAATAAAAAAGTAGAGAAACATTATTAAAGAAAAAGTGTCTGAATGCAGCAGGAACCCAGACAATCTTTATGGAATTGAAGCAAAATTTTTTAAAAAGTTACTGAAATTAAGTATTGTGGCATAATTTAATAAAAAAAACGCATCAAAAGAGCCTTGGAGGAATGAACATCTCCTACTCCGTGCAACAAGGATTATTTTTATCTCTCAGTTTAATTAAACATAACTGTGCACCAAGCACATATTTTTACTTAGTGCACAGTTATCTATTGAATTTTTAAGCGCCTATTCTGCAGTGTATTATGTCAAGTTGTTGATAACAACTTCCTCTTGTTTTTTTGTTTTTCCTTATATTTTCCTTTAATTTTAGTTATTTAATTTTTTTTTGTTATATTTCATTTAAATTTTCATTGTTTATGTTTTGTTTTTTTGTTTATACCTATTTCAGATGCAGTATAAATATTATTTAAAAATGTTCTTGCTATTATTTTTTGAATAATAATCATTATTACCTCCATCTCCATGGCTATGAACCTCATCTTTCTTTTACGGCAACTCTCAAACTGTCTGTAGAACATGAAATCAGTATTCCTTTATTCACAAAAACAAAACTGCGCATGTCATTTTGCGGCTCTTATTCTGAAACTTTGAAGATCAGCTCCTTAGCGTAGGAAATAGTTGGCAGCAATAAAATCCATAGTTTACAGAGTCATCAAAAAAACTCAGATGTTTTATCCATGATGATTTGCATAAATGTGCTATGCTTTTTGTATGGCAATGAACCCTGAAAAAAAAAATAATAATTCACTGGCTAGATCAAAAACATAGGTCTCTTTATTTTTCTATAGATTGTGAGATGGAAGCAAACTTCTCATGTCAACTTTTTGCATTTCTTTTCCACAAACATAAATAGTATTTCCAGTTTAATATGCAGAAAACAGTGTTTTATCTCCTTTAAAAAATCTTTATACAATACATTGTTCTGTTTAATCAGATTGAATTAAAATAAACCATTCTGTCATGTACCAGATGTTTTAGAATAGTTATACCAATGTTATTAGTAAATGAAGTTCCCTGGTCTATATTAGGTGACAACAACACATGATTCGTTGACATTGTGCAACTGCTCTTACCAAGCTGTAGTTCTTCTGGAACAGGGATCCATCACTGTAGAATGTATGACAAAGAGAACTTTTCCCTACTGCTGCGTCCCCTGTGTACATAGAAATAGATTTACAGATTTTGTTTTTTTTGGTTTAGCAAAAATATAGATAAAATAGCTATAAATTATTCAGATGTGATTTCTATAAAACAGTATATAGATATGAATTTAAAGGCACCAAGCAGTATCCCTCTGCTAAATTAGAACAAGATATATTTATTTGTAGTGGACAAGCAATGACTTCACCATAGATACACTAATGATCAAAAACAAATAATTAAAATAGATTTCAAATATATTGCAGTTATATTTAACTCATTTCACTTTTTATCTCATATTACTACATATTATCAAGTTAAATAAATTACATGTTGTAGAATTATTAGATTATTGCAGTGTTTCTGGTGTGCTTAAAGTTAACACAAATCCTCAGCAGATCTCCATTTGTTTTGCTTTTTGATTGTGTATCTGTACATTTTAACATGCATTGTTATTGTTTTGAAGAATCCCTAATTACCACGTAGATCCCATGAGTCTTCTAAAACAGATACGAGCTCAGATTCAAAGTAAAAAAAGAAAAACCCTGCATACCATTAATAGGCTTGTAGCATACAAGCTTACTGGCTGTACAAAAAACATGCCCTGCAATGTTTTGGTGGCATTTCAGCTTGTAAAGCGAAAAACACACAATAGTAAATAACTTATTAGAACACGTGGAGAAGGGGTGGTATATCCATAGCACTATAGGAAGTGTTAAATAAAGATGAAGCAGATGTTTGCCTGATTCTTTAGCTTTAGCTAATGTAAAGAGGCTAAACGGCATCGAATCGCCGCTAATATTTAACAAACCTTACCGACAAACAGACATCTTGCCCTCAACTTCACCATTATATGAAAAGGTTCGAAACCTCACGTGAAGATGCTAAGATTCTTTAAATAAATCGTCCATTAGTGCTTTAGATCCCTTGCCTCGGCAACATGAACAAAACTTGTTTCTTAGCAACCATTCCTCGTAAGCGCTCATTGGTCCATTCCACTACTGCGTCATCAGCTATATCGTGCTCCTATTGGCTATGTGTGTTGTTGGTATAACTCCCCTCAGAAGGTCTTGTAAGGCACAGCTATCGTTAACAAAAAATATTTTAAGCACATAAGCTTTTCTGCTGTGTTTTTTAGCCATTTGCCTACCAGAGAAAGCCGACTGATAACAATTAATATAAGACATTAATTAAATAAGAAATAGCTGAAAGACGAGTCCACTTTGAGTTATGGTGTTAAATGTCCACTAGAGGGTGGAAAATCTACCGAAATAAGAATAAGACTAAATTATAATGATATGCATACACTTATTTTTTGTACTTTTAATGTGGTATATCACCTTTACTTTATACTTCCGAAAACAATTAGTAATTGAAATGCATATTTTTAAATTAACAAAAAGGGAATTGATTTTAGCCACCTTATAAGTGCTTTTCGCCTGCTGTGTGTGGAGAAGCGCGCTCTTGTAGCAATAACATGATCCGCGCAAGGCGTGACAGCGGAAGCGCGTTCACGTCTTGTGGCGCTACAGCATCATCAAAACACTGGAACACACCTCCAGCAAGACGTTTCAGAGCAATTTAGAATATACACAAACACAAAGTAAAAACAAGAGTGGATTATTGTGCAACAAGGATTTTTCTTTCTCGTATCCATTTGGAGCAGAAGTGCTTTTATTTTTCTCTCCGTATTTATCTGGTGCCCTACACACCTTGTGCCTTTGAAAAAAAAAAAAAAAAAAATCAGCGGGGATCATCTGAGAGACACGGCTGTCCAGAGAGGGGAGGAGGACAATGGAGGGGATGCAGGCATACGGAGCCGGGAAAGCCGGGGGAGCCTTCGACCCTGTCACCTTCCTCCAGCAACCCCAGACCATTCTGCGCATAGTATCTTGGGTAAGAATCTGTAACCAGATATGAAAAGTGGATTTGTTGTTAATTCACGATCTCTGATTAGCAGTAGTTCTTGCGTAGGCCTCCTCTGGTGAGGACACTTGCAAAAATTGTGTGAAATTAAAATATGATTTCTAGGCCATTTCCATTTTAATTTTGTGTTAAATGTAAGACAATAAGTTCACTAATAATAAACACTACTGTTTTTTTTATTTTTGGATTGAAACTCTAAACGTGATGACATACAGTACTCTAGTTATTCTGAAATATCTTTAATAATCTATTTTAAATAAATATATATACACAAATATATATACATACAGTGGTGGTTCTAGACCAAATCTACCAGGGGCCAGTGTGTTTTCATGGGGGCACAGAAAAGTATATAAAAAGCAGGGCAAGGGATTCAATATATATTAAGATGGCTACATTAAGTGAAATTTCTATTCAATTAGGTTTTTAGTTTATTATAATTATTTGTCTTATTACATCAATATACATTCAGAACTTAGGAATTTTACATATTTATTACTTTAATAAAATTAAAATAACCGTTTTCTATTAAATCTGAATTGAATTTGAAGAACAACTGATAAATTCAGTTAAAAATTAATGCATTTTCTTAAGACTTGAAAAAAACACCAGGCAGATGGAAACTGGGATCCTATCTCAATACCACTGAAGCTATCACTTTAATATTGCTAAGTAAGGTGATAGCTAAATAAGGTGATGCTAATTATATAAATAGTAAAATATTCCTACCAGTAACCATGTCTGTTCCAGCACAGATCACCATTAGAACTTCTTTGAGTATTATGTCTGCAGTACAGGGGCCAGGATATGATCTATAGGGGCACATATATATATATATATATATATATATATATATATATATATATGTGTGGAATAACATTGTACCAGTATTAACTATTAATATATATTAAGATAAGATTGAAGCAGAATAGGGGCGCACTGAATTTAGAGTTTTTAAAGCCAAGTTTTAAGTATTCTGATACTACCAGTCACAGTTCAGGTCAGAGAAACAGTTGGGAATAGCAGCTGTTGGTTTTAAAGATTTTAAACTCAGAGTATCTTTTGTATTTAATCAATTTATTGTGTTTGTGTTTATCAATCTAAAGTATGTTGATCTACCTTTTGCACAAGGATTTATTTTTCACCTACATCTATGCCAAATAAAATAAATAATTAAATCGTTTGTAATTAAGTAATCCTCATTGTGTGCACTTTTTTAACTTTAGAGTTTAAATACGTTTTCTTTTTTTTTCTTTTTCTTTTTTTTTTAGTCATATTTATGAAAGAAGTCAAGATTAGGTTTAGGAAAATCCTGATTTAAAATGTTGAGTTTTACCCAGGCATCAATCCTCCATCACTTGCCATGTTGAATCTAATTTTGTAGCTCTCTCAATTTTGTGAAGAATGCCTTTTTTCTGTCAATGTGTTTACTTGTTAGCCATGGATATCATGTGATTGCAGGTCATGGGTTTATCCACTGGACCGTTTTATTATTTATCAGACCTAATTTCTTCAGTCACAAGGTGCGGCTTTTTACTTTAAGTTTACTTTAAAATATCCCATTTTCAAACGGTAGCTATTCAATATATTATGAGATTTTTAATCAACCTCATTCGGATTTTTGCAATACCTTGGAAAATAACTTCTACTCACTGAACTCTTCCGCTTTCTTTTATCTTACAGTCAAATACTTCAGTGTATATCCACAGCTAGTCCTAATTTAAGCAACATGAGGCATAACCTTCAGAAGGGTTTACAAATAAAAAATCAGAAAAGTGCGGGCTGCACTTATGCATTTAGACATTTTAGACATTTTAATCCATTACCCTGGAAAGAGAATCTGTTGACAACTATTACCTTTTTCAATCTACCCATCCATCCATCCGTCCGTCTGTCTGTCTTATGAGTATCTTGGAGTTCACTTTAACTAGACTGGACACAACATCTATGCTCTTTAAGGAGGCTCAGAACAGACCTGGTAATAAAGCAGAGGTCTTTTGAAGTCCAGTGGGTACTCCTAAATGCCTTATTTAACTCTTTAATCACATGAACAAATTCAAGGCATGGCATGTTGAAATAATGGCCTATCTGAGAGAAAGCGGTTCTGTCCTAGATGCCCCTGGACACAGTACAAATAGTTGGAGACATGAGAAAAATTTAAAAAAAAGTACATTACTGTTGGAAAACGTTTCCTACATACCCCATGCATGAAGCTGTTGCAGAGCTGGAGAGTTCCTTCAGTGATAGACTGTAGTTTCCTATGTTAACACCTAGAAGCACTAAGGAGCACATCCATAGATCCTTTCTCCTTTGCCGCTATTAGGCCAAATAACTGTTTGCAACCATGCAAAAAGTTGCACAGGTTATTAATCTGATCAAGAATTATTTGCACTGTTTGTACTCGACACACCATGTGTCTTACATATGTTGTATCTACACAATATTTCATACCTAATATAAAAAATGTTTTTACTACAATCTCTCTTTTTGCAGTTTTCTGCCATTGCACATATTTCCCATCCTCCTGCTAACTGACTATTGTTGTTTTCTTTTCTTTTCATTTAGTTTTTACCTGAATTTTTGTTATTTTAAATTAAATACATTATAAATGCATGACTTTTCCTTTCTCTATAGATGTATAGCTAAACTTTTAAGATGTATTATGTATTCTTTTGTTCCAAATTTCCCCATGTAGGACAATACAAGTAGTTGTATTCTATTCTATTCTTGAACATTGCTATTAATCAACTATAAATTGATTTGTCATTAAATCAGATCATTCTAATCTGGATACTTACAAGAGAGTGGGAGAAGTGAGTGCCTAATGTGGTACATTTTTATCATGCAACCTGCTATGCTGCTTTTTGATATTTTTAAAAAAATATTAAGGGTTGATTAAATGTTTTTAATAAGGCTACAGAATTACAGGGTTATTTTATCATTAAATGTGCCGCCTTAAAGTGTCACCAGAGCAACAACACATCTCCATAGTAACAGCCAGGGGCGGAGTTGTGATGTTTTTTATGATGGAGTTAATACTCAGTCTGCTGCAGTGTGTGTGGGAGGAAACTGTCTGCTGATCGAACGTCCCTGGAATGAAGACATCAAACAGGGATGGAAAAACAGAGTAGTTTATGAATGGTGGTCCAGGGCTGTCAATGTCCCAGTTGTTGGCCATATGAGAACTGACTGCTAAGGTGATAATGAGTGTGGGTATGTGTGATTCAGCCTTGAATGCATGTTAAGATGCATATTGGAGCAGAGAAACAGGCATAACAGTGACAGATGAGAGGAATGTACCCTGTGTAAGATCACAGGCTATATAAAAGAATATTAAAGAACAAGCCAAGCTGTTTAAACCTGACTTACTGATCAGAAATAACACATTTTGCCTTATTATTTTACTTTCATCTGTGTTTGAAAGAGCTAAACCTTTCTAGCTGGGAGTATGAGCAGGATTCCTGAAAATATGCCTCTGTACAAGGATTTAGGTCACTCCCAAGTGATTATACATGTTAATGGGTTTTTAGTTTAGCCTTTTTTTTATTGTCAGAATTAATCATGCCTAGTGCAGCAGAAATGCAACACATTTCTGTTTGTCAGTGATTTAATTTGGCAGTGATGCTTTTTACTCCTCGTTTATGAAAGAAAACCCCACAATGGTCACAGAAATAACTTGAATCTGACAAAAGTAATTATAAATAAAGAATCTATGAAAATGAACAAGTAAAATTCAGACATTGATTTTCAGTGATGATTTAACAGAAATATTTTGTAAAATTAACTCATGAAACTGGCTTGTGCAAAAATGATGGTTCCCAGGGCAAAAACTAAAAATAATGTCACCAAAGGGACATGTTAAATCAAGGTGTGTCCACTAATTAGAATCACAGGTGTCTACAATCATGTAATCAGTCAGTGGGCTTATATATATGGCAACAGGTAGTGCTTGTTTGGCGGCATGGTGTGTACCACACTCAACATGGATACTCATGGAGGAAGCGAAACAAAGAGCTTTCTAAGGAGATAAGGAAAAGTTATAGACAGGAATGATGATCAGTCATTGTTTGAGCCAAAGTGGACTTAATGGGAGACAACCAAGGAGGACAGCACTGTTAAAAACAAATCATATAAAAGCCAGACTAAAATTTACCAAACCACATGTTGACAAACCACAAAGCTTCTGGGAGAATGTCCCATGGACAGATGAGAGAGAAATAGATTTTTCCCCTAAGGCACACAGGCTCTATTTTCACACGCAGAAATTAAGCATATCAAGAAAATAGGACTTCCCCTACTGTAAAACATGGAGGAGGCTCTATTATGCTGTGGGGCTGCTTTGCTTCATCTGGAACAGGGTGTTGAATATCTGCAGGGTACAAATAATCTAGAGATCAAGGGATTCTATAGAGAGAAAGAAAGACAGCTTTGTCTCAGTCGCAGATCATGGGTCTTTAAACAAGATAATGGGCCAAACACAGAGCTACAAAACCCCCAGAATGGCTAAGAGAAAAAAGCATTGGACTATTCCGAAGTGGCCTTCTATGAGCTCTGACCTAAATCCTATTGAGAATCTTTGAAAGCAGCTGAAATGTGCTGCCTGGAAATGGTACCCTTCAGAGACGTGGCAGCTGGAGCCGTTTGCTCATGAGAAGTGGACAAAAATACCTGCTGAGAGGAGCAGACATCTCACTGAAGGTTACAGGAATCATTCGATTGCAGTGATTGCCTCGAAGGTTGCATAATAAAATATAAAATTAAGACTACCATCATTTTTGTCAAGGCCTATTTCATGAGTTTAGCTTCAGAATTATGTTTGTTGAAGCATGGTTGAAAAGCAGTCAGACTTCCTTTTCTTCATTTTTATATACTTTTTATAGGTTTGTTTTGGTATTGCCCCCAAAAAGCTAAATCTAGTTTTAAGATACCTAACATTTCCAAAAAGCACAGGTTGATCTCCTATATCACTG